ATAAACATGATACTAGTTAATGCACTTTCGTTGCTCAGTAAAGGTCAAGCAAATGTACATGTACTTAGTGTACTAAGTTGTATGTTTATAAATATCTTTGACAACTGACAGCTTTAGCTTCCTCAGTAAGAACATACATATTCTGTTCACTAAGTTTCCAACAGCAAAACAGTATTTATGGTGAATTAAACTTCAGATGCATGCATGTACACAGGAGATAAATTTACCTCGAGATTGTTAATTTACTGGAAATTTGGTCAGAATTGAACTCTATTTATTAAGTATCCTGTTGGAAGTGACTTTCTTATACACGTGGCAGAAGCTTATTGTATGACATCAAATATAACTAATGTATAGTTTTCCTTTGAAGAAAAAGGTATTACAAAGCAGAAACAAGGTAAAGAAGTGAAGGCATTGTGCTGTAGTTTGCCAGACAAATGTTATACTTGTATCATCTGTTGTTGTACAAGGCTGCAGTTTGATAGTTTTTACAGTCCCTGTGCACAAACAACTACAGATATACACAAGTCTCTACTGCTGCATTTAACCACACTTTGTTTGTGATTACCTCAGGATATCAATATCAAATTGACATGTTAATTAATGTAAGTTTATTTTTATTTGCATTGCGAACATATCGCACTGCAGGGAAATTAATTCTTTCTGGAAATTACATAGCAATCTTATTTGTAAGTTCACTGACTTCAAGGATATTTGTAAATGCACTAGTTTCAAGGATTAGATTAATGTAAAGTTTCAATGTATGGTCTCTTTTATATCTTGTGTCTGTGTTTATTGTATGTTGCAGAAATCTCTGAGCCATATCAGGAATCTGTAGACGCATATATATATGATGAAACTGCATTAATTTCATCTTGTTGCTTTTATTTGTTACACTACGAAACAAGAAATCCTTTCATTATACACTGGATGAGGCTCAGCAGCATTACACATGAATGTTTTTGTATAACTCAGTAAATATTTTCACAAAAGTGTAATGTAGAAATTTTGGTTCTCTTTACTCTATATAGAGAGAAGATAAGCTGTATCTTGGCAAGGATGAAGAAAGACAAAAATAGATATATTTATCCTACAACATTGATTGAAAATCAGACTATTGAAACAAATAAAATTTTTGTTCAATCTGTGTTTACCTGACATTGACGTTACACTGAATTTTTCCTGGTGACATACACCAAAATAATTGCACTGTGTAGAAACAGTTCCAAACTTTGTCTAATATAACAACGATTTTATGATTTTCATAAATCAACCTGTTCATTACAACATGTAAAATTGCCAATTTCAACAACTATTTATACACATGAAATTTAAGTAAATTCAGAGAGTAATTCTGTTGAATTACCTCACTGCTGAATACAGCAAAAATATATGTGGTAGGTGTATTCCAACAACAGCAGTGCTAGCTGTAGGATTAATGTATTTATAGTGTGGTTGTGGTCATGATTATTGTCCTATTTTGATTAGTTGATAGGAATTAATATAGAAAAAAAGGCTATATTTTGTGATTGTTAATTTTGGACACATCTAGGTAATAAAATATGACATTGGATGGATGTGTAAACCTAGGACTGGTTGAGGTGTCTTAAACAAATAACACTACATGAATATGATTGATTTGTGTTACAGATTGGAGTTTATGAATACATATGGTGACAAGGTAAAAAATTCTCAAAGTAAATAAGCAAGGTATTGGTTGTTCAGATTAATAATCGATATGAGAGTGTTACCTCCCAAGTCTCTCTGATATAAGTACAAACTATAAGCTCAAATTGTTTGGTGCAATCTTGTATTAAAGTAGAAGGTAAGAGTAGATATGTGCCTAGCTCAAAGGCTTACAATAGAACTGACTAGTTACATGTAGGCTCATATCAATATACATGTATTTTACAATTAATTAACTAAACAATTGTCAGGTGAAAACAGGCATGAAATAAGTCTTCTTTAATCTGTAATAGTCATCAATTGGTCATATCTGACATATACACTGAGTAAGGTGTCCTGACAGTTCTAACATTTATATCACCCTGAACTGGCTAACAAGACAGCCTATAATTGAAAGATAACTGAAACACCAATTAAATTGTCACAAAACTTTAGCTCATTACTTCACATTTTCCAGAGAGTTATTTGAGAAAATTTGATTAATGTGAAGATCTTCTGGAAAAACATGGCGATTTTCTTCTGCTGGCATGTACATTTGTTCACCTGGGTAAAACTTCTTCATATTTACATGGTATCTTTGGTCCTAGAACATGTTCTAGTATCATATCTCTTTAATCTTAAATTCCCTGTACGGAAATACATCCGAAATCATTCCCGATTTCTTTAGTACAGATCATAAAACCAAGGTTAAAGAAATTTGTTTTCAGTAAATCTTGTACACTGCCTGTTGGAATAATGACATTTCACAGTTTTGTGCCAGGAATATACCTCTGGGAGAGCTTTGATGGAGATCGATGGCCACACATTTCCTGAGAAGGTCCTGCAGTAGTAAAAGTAATGGCCGATATTTCATAGGAAAATTGATCATTATTTCACGGTATTGCTGTAAAAATCACACAAATATGTCACATGAAAGCAATGAAGTCGAGTTTCGTATCACACTGAACTTTTGGAATGTTCATATTTATAATCTTATTTATTATCTCCTGTTATTCAAACAGGAAAAGTTGGTATATAAAAGAAAAGTTATAATTATTATATATTCTGGTTTTGCTAGACAATAAAGTATTCAAGGATTTTCAGACATAAGACAGTGTCCATAGTTTTGTCAGACATAAGAAAGACAGTGTCCATAGTTTTGTCAGACATAAGACAGTGTCCATAGTTTTGTCAGACATAAGACAGTGTCCATGGTTTTGTCAGACATAAGACAGTGTCCATAGTTTTGTCAGATATAAGACAGTGTCCATGGTTTTGTCAGACATAAGACAATATGCAAGGTTTTGTTAGACAATACAATACGCAAGGTTTTGTCAGACAATACAATATGCAAGGTTTGTCAGACAGACAATATGCAAGGTTTTGTTATACAAGACAATATGCAAGGTTTTGTCAGACAAGACAATATGCAAGATTTTGTTAAACAAGACAATATGCAAGGTTTTGTTAGACAGAAGACAAGATGCAAGGTTTTGTTAGACAGAAGACAAATGTTTAATAGGTATATCAACAAATAAAACTAGTGTTGTTCCGATTAATCGATTTAATCGAGTATCACTTGTTTGAGATGTTTTATCAATTAATCGAGTAAGAAATCTGTAATCGATCATCATGATGTATGAAAATAGATTATTTCAACATTGAAATTATTTTCAACATTAATAAATTTATTTTTAAAAAAACAATATTTGTTTATATTAAAAAGTATTCTGTGCAATAAACGAATAACAAGCACACAAAAAGATGGTGTAGGTACAACAGTTTTAGTAATTACGTGAATTGCTATTAAAACATAACACAAAATACGTATTTAGACTTGAATAATATCCAAAAACAGAGAATTAAGAATTAATCGATTTTAATCGATCATCGGTCGGTTACAAAAAGTTGATGATCGATCAGGAAATTTCAATGGATTCCCAACACTATATAGAACTACATGTATGTTTATATATTGTATAATCTGTTTACATATAATAAATATACATATACATATAATGAAATAGACGAACAGCAAGAAAAGAAAAAACACTTACCTATAAAAAGAAAATTATCCAAAAAATTTATGTTAATTTAATATTAAAATATTCAACTTGAACTTTATGTCATCATTCCCTGATAATCCTGGCCTTCTTGTATTACATAAAACTATCCTGGAATAATTAACTCTCAGAGAGTATAATGGATTGATACAGAATAAATCTCAATATTTACAAATGGAAATTGAGAGGTTTGCCCTGTGTATATACAATCTATATTTATATGTCTGCTGGTTGGAATCTCAGTATTTGTTATGTACTGATACCAGTGTATCTTCATTAAAAACTGACTCGTGTTGGGATGGAGACTATAGTAAGCACAGAAATATGTTGAGACATAAAATTTAAAAGCAATGGAAACAGATTGTTAGCCATGCAATGTTATGAAATGCTTTTATTGGAAGTATGAATCTTTGTGTCATCTCTCTTGAAATCAGTCATTGTGCAAATAATGTGCTGTTTACGTTCTCAGCAGACACCATATGTAAGTTTAAATATGTCTTGAAATCTTGATTTTACAACTAAGGTATAGGATTGTGTCTTGATCAACTCAGTTTCATATATTACAAGGGGAATTAATATATAAATCTACAGGGCTTTGTGATATATCAATCTACAGGGACTTTGGGATATATAAATCTACAGGGACTTTGTGATATATCAATATATAAATCTACAGGGCTTTGTGATATATCAATCTACAGGGACTTTGGGATATATAAATCTACAGGGACTTTGTGATATATAAATCTACAGGAACTTTGTGATATATCAATCTACAGGGACTTTGTGATATATCAATATATAAATCTACTGGGCGTTGTGATATATAAATCTACAGGGACTTTGTGATATATGAATCTACAGGAACTTTGTGATATATAAATCTACAGGGACTTTGTGATATATAAATCTACAGGAACTTTGTGATATATAAATCTACAGGGACTTTGTGATATATCAATCTACAGGGAATTTGTGATATATAGATCTACAGGGAATTTGTGATATATAAATCTACAGGGAATTTGTGATATATAAATCTACAGGGAATTTGTGATATATCAATCTACAGGGACTTTGTGATATATAAATCTACAGGAACTTTGTGATATATAAATCTACAGGAACTTTGTGATATATAAATCTACATGAACTTTGTGATATATAAATCTACAGGGATTTTGTGTTATATAAATCTACAGGGACTTTGTGATATATAAATCTACAGGGGCTTTGTATGCTGTGTTGAATGTGAACTGTTTTCTGTTTCAGGGGATGTCATTGACGGTGTGGAAACCTGTCACTCAATAATCTTGATAATATTGGTGGTACAACAAATGACACAAGGTATGTATAATCTATTATTTTACTCTGTTCACCAAAAATGTTGAACTATATTTATTTCTGTGTGTGCGAAATTAGATATTTCGTTGACATACCGAGTGTATGGCCAACCAAACCTATGCAGTGTAATGACTGTTGGGGGGGGAATGGTCATGTCTTTTCAAGACAACCTAAGGCAAGGATGATATTTACACCTCTTTTTTTTCTACTGTCTTGTAGAAGAAATCTGTAGCATACATACTCCATGTATGCAAATCCCTGACAGAAATACTTGTAATACACCAGTACAATGTGTCTACATGCTCTATGTTGACCAGTGTATGATTCTGACAGTATGTGATCATATGCGATGTAAACAAATTTCGCCAAAGCAATGGTAAACTGCAGAATGCTGTGAAGGATTCATCATTTCAAATATTTCTAAAAGGTTTGGTATCACTTCAAGTGTATTAGAAATTAATTAATTATGAAGGTAGCACTAATGGATAATAGTGAACAATTTCAGAAGAGGTAATGTGTTCAGTTGGATTACATGTATTGGTAAAACTGAGAAATAAATTTTGTTTGCACAACGAAATGTCACAGAACCACCATTAGCAGACAAACTTAAATTTTAGGCTGGAATTTACATCCTGGTTTAGCAGTACTTGTGTTTAATGTTTTAATTAGTATATTATGAAATAAGTGAATCATACCTCTTCGGAAAACTTTGGTTTGAAGACAAAGTTTTCAAGCTCTGGTATATTTGCCATTGAGCACATGAAGGGAACATATAGAAAAGGTACACAGACACTATTGCGTATGTCTGGTTTGGAATTGATAATAGAAAAAAATAGTGGTTTACACACCACCAGTGATCACAGTACATCAGACAGTCTAAGTATCTTAACAAGTTAAAACCTACATAAAAAGTTCCGTGACAATATTGAAGCTATGCTGGTTTCCTATTACATGTTCTTGTCTTTAGAGGTGATTGTGTATGTTTATATTAGTCTGCGTCTAATGCTCACAGTCCATGTTAGTCTATGTTGATTTACTATTAGTGTATGTGGAATTTGTAGTTCAAATTTGAAATCAATTACATCGTGTTAGTTCTAGATATATGCAAATCTCCAATAATAAAAACTAAATTGACCAAATATACAAACTTTTTGCAAGTGAACTGAAAATTTCACTAGTTTTAATTCCTATCCTGAAATTAAACGTTCTTTCATGTAATTCAAATTACAAATGATTATAAGCAAATGAAATAGAGAACAGACAACATAAATATTAAATAATCAAAAGTGCCAGTATAAGGACAAAAGGATAACATATTTCCTGTGAGGCTAAAAAACAGTCTGGTCTTAAAGTACCACAAACATTTGATGTTGTTTACTCAAAGCTTATCAACAGCCTGGTCTTATAATACCACAAACATTTGTTGTTGTTAACTCCAAGATAAACAAAAGTTTGATTGTAAAGTACAACATTTTAAGCCTTACATGTGAACAAAATTTTATGTTATATACTCTTAACCATTAATTATCAAAGAGTAATTACTATTAACAGTTTTAAAAGTAGAAATATGGGCTTATCAATGACAGCTATGGATGTAAATCACCATTGCTTTGTAACATTTTTCATCTGCAAAAGATATTTTGTGGCCTAAAGACATAGGCTTACTGCCAGAAAACAACAATAGATGACTTAAGCATCATCTAGATATGAATAAAAACTCTCATGATGAATTGATGTATTTACCCTTGTGTGGATAGTCTCTAGATGAAGCTTACCCACCACAATGTGTGTATTTATCAATATCTTGGTATTGGGAATAGGCATTGCAAGTGTATATGGTCGTGTCATTTAAGTTCTAACGGTTATAAATGTGTGTAGCTGCTTACATCGCTGAATTTGATGGTTTTGATGTGAAGAGACATGTAAGATGTTTAGATGTAATGTTACATAATGTATGTATTTGTAAATGGAAGCTTCAATTTAATCAGTTTCGCTTGGAATTATTTTTTGGTCATGGCGTCATCGTGACATTCAAGTGATGCCATTACCTTCTACGTTTGGTATAATATAGCAATATTTCATGATATAATCTTTGGTTATGAGAAGTAAATATAGGGAATTTTAATCATAATGCATACTGATAATTTGTAGTTATAAATCATGTTTAGGAACTCTTTTGAAATAGAGGTGATTTTAGACATGTCATTGAGGCAGCTCTGTTAACAAGCAAACTACTGGTGGCAAATATCAAGCTAATGATTTGTTGCTGTTCAACTCTGTCATCATTACCATATATTCTTTGTAAGTGTTCAATTTTGGCAGAAAAAGCTTCTATAAATAGAAATAAGTTGAAGCCAACGGTCTCGCATTAACAGAATATTAAGCATAACAAAGAAATAGTTAATATGTGATCAAGCGTTTCTTTTAGTTCAGTATGGAACTGTATTTTCATTTTCGTTATACTGTGTATATATTTGTAAAAGTTGACAGATTTGATATTTTCTTCTTCAAACACATATTCCACTATATTATTGCCTCTGAAATATTACAGTATATCCATGGTGATCATCTCTTTTTAACTCTGGCACTGGAGAATCAAATAAGGGAAATAACTTGTTTGCATTCTCAGTAACTGCTGTTCGATCTGTGAACAAAAGTACATGTAATGCATGGCAGTATGCGCATAACTTTATTCTCTAACCTTTCTACCATGATTGTGAGGTAGCAGTGATAAACGTCCAATTAGTGGTAGATTATACAGTGTCAGAATACACAGGGTCTTTAAAGGTATAATGGCAAGATTTAAGAAAAAAAAAAAAAACACACAAACAAAAAAAAAAAAAAAAAATTTAGCTTAAATCACAGAAGTCAATAAAACAATCCTTTCTGACTTTAATCAATTCCTTTTCCATTTTGAAGATTTCATATAATTGAAAAAGTATCGAAAACCTTGATATTTCTCTTTGGCAGACATGAGGCTGTATATTGATATAGTTGAAACTGCCTATAATGGGAGTCTTATTACAGAGTTGATAGATTCTTCCTCTTTGTCTTGGCCAGAAAGTCACTTACAATGGAAGATTATAACCAGAACGTGTGAATATCTCTGATGAAAAAAAATCTGTTTTGTATTTTCTTCTTGGATGGGAATCATTCTGTATCCTCGGAGACACATTTCCTATGAAATAATCAATGGCTACTCATACTTTGTCTTTCCTTTATTGTCTGTGATCTGCGTGTATTGTAGAAAGATAGAGTGAAAAATGGTCAGCGCTTACACATTTGTGCCAGCGTGCTTAGGCTCACATTGTTGTGATGTTACAAATTTCTCAGTTGTTTTGATTTTTAATTTTGTTTGCTTTCTTTTTTTTTATATGTGTGTTTTGTGAATTGAGACTAGCTATAGAAAACATGGTTTTATGTATATACCGAATATGAAATAAATTGATTTAATTTTCAGTTTTAATGTCTGTTGATTTATATTGAACCTTTTTACCAAAACAGAAATTTAGATAATCTTAATTTATTTTTTTACTGGCCTCTGCAAATACAGCTGTTGTGATATGATATCCTTGGTAAATATTATTTATCAATTGCAATTTGATGAAAACTTACATCATTCCTGCAGTGATTGCAGTGATGATGTAAGTTTTGTAGTTTTAACCAACCAGAGTGGTGTCCTCTAGGTACTGTATTGAAATTTGTCTTGAAATCTTGTTAAGATCTAAATGAAGTGAACGTTGAATAAGGTGATTTTCAGTCACATAATTTCTGTTTACTTTAAAGTTCTCTTATTTGGTATATAAAAACAATTTTGCAAATGAATCTTTCCAGTTACCAACATAAAATGATTACTAAGGTGGTATCATCTTGTTGTCAAGTGTATGTATCTGACATTAAAAAATGTGCTTATATTTCCCGAACTTTTTTTCATATTTTTCACACGCTGCTTTATTTGTGAAGTGTAAAAAAGAGAAAATTACTGGTTTCTTGTTGGACATATATATATATACTTCACTTGTATGACAGAATATATCATTATATTTCACCCGAGCTTTGCACAAAATATATGTAAGGAAATTAAACAGAAACCCATTAGATATTCTTTATATACTACATGTATTCTGGTGACAGACTGAACATTGCTATTCTATACACTACATGTATTCTGGTGCTGGAGAGACAGAACATTGCTGTTCTATATACTACATGTATTCTGGTGCTGGAGAGACAAAACATTGCTGTTCTATATAGTATATGTATTCTGGTGCTGGAGAGACAGAACATTGCTGTTCTATATACTACATGTATTCTGGTGCTGGAGAGACTGACCATTGCTGTTCTATATACTACATGTATTCTGGTGCTGGAGAGACAGAACATTGCTGTTCTATATACTACATGTATTCTGGTGCTGGAGAGACAGAACATTGCTGTTCTATATACTACATGTATTCTGGTGCTGGAGAGACAGAACATTGCTGTTCTATATAGTACATGTATTCTGGTGCTGGAGAGACAGAACATTGCTGTTCTATATACTACATGTATTCTGGTGCTGGAGAGACAGAACATTGCTGTTCTATATACTACATATATTCTGGTGCTGGAGAGACAGAACATTGCTGTTCTATATACTACATGTATTCTGGTGCTGGAGAGACAGAACATTGCTGTTCTATATACTACATATATTCTGGTGCTGGAGAGACAGAACATTGCTGTACCAATACATGATTGTTTTCAATAAAAACAATCATTTTCTGTCTAGTGATGGTTTGAAACCTTTCTAGTCTGTTCCACTTACAACTTAAATCATTCAAACATATGTTGAGACCTGACAGTTACCATTGGCATCACAATAATTGCTTCATGTAGACACTATTCACATCCATGTTAAATGCTGTGGGTATTGGAATATAAATGACCGTTGTAAGCACTCAGTAGCATCAGATTTTACACATACATATCACTTAATTAGCATTGATCCAGTGTGATTTCTT